GAAAATGAGGACCTAATGCGGGAGCTTAAGTGGAGAGGAAATGTTTTGAGAATGATGAGGGCAATGAATGTACAAATGCGCTTTACACAACTGATGTATGTATGGATTGTGATAAGAGTTATATGAGCCCCTAATAAAATTATTTTTTTTAAATGTGCTGAGAAACTCAGCTTATGCATGAGCATATGCAGTGTACTGGTTATGAGTATGCTCTCTAGAGCTAATTGCCTTGGTTCAAACGCTGGTCCTAAGATTTTGGCTAAGTTACTATCCAATGATGGTCTCGTACACTGGCTTGAGAGAGGCAGGGGTAAAGCGGCTTTATTTGTAGCCTTTGCCAACTTCCAGGGTGTAAATATTCCCATCGTGGCCAATTTCAAGAGAGCCAAATGATGTCACTGAAGATGAAGGGGTACCCACTGTTGCCTGCTTCTCGGGGCACTGGTAACAATTAAGTGAGCTCACACCAGCGGCACACGAAACACTCCATACAGGTTTCTTATCATCATGTTCATCTCACCGATCCATCAAAAATCATGGTGATTTTGGGGGGAAATAACAGAAGAAAGGGTATCACTACTAAATAAATTTTTACTTAACCTTTCCTGTATATAATTTAAAGGCACTGACTAAATATCAGTGTTTTGTTCTTTCATTAACTGTTCTGTGGAGTTGCACATATCCCAAACTATGTTACAATTATAATAATCATGTTTAACACATTCTTATTTTGAGTTGCAATGGGCATTTTTCATAAAGCATGACTTTGTAAAATAAAATTTTTATACATTAAATAATACTAATATCCTACTAACATGCTAAAAACAAATCTAATACTCTTAATAAAGGAGGTCTTAATAACTTGAAGACTAAAAACCCACTCCCATCAAATCTCACTACAATGATCTCCAATAACATGGTGTACAATGTTCCACCTAAAGTCAGAATAGAGTAGTAGACTTAGTGATAACGCAGACATAATCACTGAGAAAAGAGGTTTATATTTGCCATCCCCTTTCTTGGGGTTCTTTTTTGTCTGTTTGTTTAAGACAATACTTAGTATGAATTATTTCAGTTTTACACACGATCGGAAGAGAGTAGTAGACTTAGTGATAACGCAGACATAATCACTGAGAAATGAGGTTTATATTTGCCATCCCCTTTCTTGGGGTTCTTTTTTGTCTGTTTGTTTAAGACAATACTTAGTATGAATTATTTCAGTTTTACACACTTTCATATAGTTACACAATAATCTGCCCAGTTCATATCACCAATGCAAGACAAAATCAAAAAACAGGGCAAACACAACCCTTGGCCTTAAACTCACCTGTAAACAGAAAACAAAATACCCACTGGCACTCTGCTCTGCGATGACATCTTCCATCGTGCGCAGGGTGGTGCCCAAGTAGGAATTCAGGAGCTGGGTGGGAAGTAAGCCAAGTGAAGATGCCATCAGATAGTTGGGTAATGAGAGATCAGTAATCTAAAAGAGGAGATGAAAGGGAGTTTCAATATCAAGGGCAATTTAATGTAAAGTTGTGGCTTTAGTCTTCCCAGAGGTTTACCTTTGGGAGTAGCGGGAGATGACATTACAAACACATTACAAAAGAGTCTGATTTTTAACAATGATTACAAAAGGAATACATGCAAAGTGTACAAAATTTTGAGGAAATGACTTAAAGAGAAATTTGAATATTCTACTTCTATTATTCCACCATCGACCAACTGCCTTTATGGCCTCTCATTTTTCTTACATAGAAACACA